TTTTTTTAAGGATAGTTCGATTATTTTAAAGTTTAAAATCAAATATTGATTGAAATAATATAAAGATTTATATATTAAATTTAATTTGAAGATATACTGAGATAAAAAATTGAAGACATAGTTAGATGGCGTTTGATTTATGCATTTAGAATCATGATCATAATTATTCTTGATTTACGTATATTTTTTATGAAAAAAATTATAACGAGCTAAAAATCATAATCTGAACCATGATACGGATCCTTACTTTAAATGCACGCTAAATAAACTTATATCCAAAAAAAATTGTAGAAGTTACATTATTGAATTATTTTACAGAATGTCACACGTGCTCTGCACATGGTTTGGATTAGTATAAGCAAACCAAAAACCTAACCTTTAACCTCCGAGGTCGGTCTCTCTCTCCTCTGTCTCCCTCTCCTACCCGCCTTTTCTCTCTCTCTATATCTACATACATACACATTCGCTGAAGCTGCGGATTTCCGTGTGTGGCTGTTCGAAGAGTTTCGTCCTCTTGAAGATTTGTTCTCTCTCTCTGCTCACAATCATCATCGAAGTGGCCCTCCCGCACGAAAGCAGCAAGCGGATAGACCGGACTTCGATCGAATTGCTTGGCCGAGTTTAGTGTATTTCTCTTGCGATTGTTTAGGGTTAGGGTTTTTGTTTATCTCGAAGATGCACGAGATGGTGTTGTATTATGTTCGATTATTGTGATAGGGTTTTGGAATTTTGGATATTTTCCCTTTGAATGTTGAGTTCTTCTCCTTTTTTTTGGTTGTAGAATTCTACACAATACTGTATAATCGACATTTACTTTCTTCCTTGTTATTTTATTCATTCTGATTTGATTTTTTTCCCAAAAAAAAGAGGAAAAACAAAAGAAGAAAAAAAGAGAGTTCCAGTAAAATCTTATCCATATATATACACACAAAAATTTGTTCTTTACGTTCCCAATTCTGCAAAAAAATAAAAGAAAAAAATTGGAAAAAAATAATTAAATTTGTGGCAATATTATTATTCATAAATGGCGAACCACGGATTAAGCAACAGGAATAACGGGCAGCGATTAGGCATTACGGAGCCCATATCATTGGGTGGACCAACGGAGTACGACGTGATGAAATCCCAGGAACTTGAAAAGGTCTTTTCTTTTTTCTTTTTTTTTTAGGAATAACGGGCAGCGATTAGGCATTACGGAGCCCATATCATTGGGTGGGCCAACGGAGTACGACGTGATGAAATCCCAGGAACTTGAAAAGGTCTTTTCTTTTTTCTTTTTTTTTTTTTTAAAATGCTTAAATAGCGTTTTTTTAAGGTGATGAAATGTTGTAAATTTGTGATTTTGTTTGCCTGAAATTATGCCGATTGGGTTTAATTTTGTGGGTGTTTCAGTATTTACAAGATGCCGGATTGTATGAGAGTCAAGAAGAAGCTGTCAGTAGGGAAGAAGTGCTTGGCAGACTAGACCAGGTTGAATTATTTTTTTTTTCAGTTTCTTTTGTCTCTGTTTGGTTGCTGAGAAAAACGATGAAAAGGAGAAAAAGTATCTGTTGATTCTGTCTGTACTTTGCCATATCAGCATTGTTTCAGTTGATAGAATAAGAAATACTTCACCTTTTTGTGGAATTAGCTGATTTCTTCCTATCATGCGTGATGTTGTTGATATGGTTGTTGTGTGTTTTTATTTTTTATTTATTGTTGTTGTTGTAAAATGAGACAGATTGTGAAGTTATGGGTCAAAACAATTAGTCGAGCAAAGGGTTTGAATGAGCAACTGGTGCAAGAAGCAAATGCGAAGATTTTCACTTTTGGTTCCTATCGACTAGGGGTACGAGCTCTCTTTCGTCTCTCCATTTCAGAAAGGTTTCTTTATTTGCATCTTTCCTGTTTTAAATTTACAGTTGTCCTCTGGAGAATAAAAGGGGAAGATGATTTTTACTAAAAGCTTAATCCACATTCTTTGAGTTTTATCTACTATTATATTATTATTTTTCACTAGTTATGCTGTGGTGATTTTGATGGTAGATAATTTTCAATAGATGCTTAATGCTCAGGCTTTGAATTTGATATGCTGTAATTTTCACTAAATGTTTAATGTTGAGGCTTTGGATTTGATCTACTATTATTATCTTTCACTAGTTATGCTATGATGATTGTAATCTGATAATTGAACATTTTAATGTTAGTGGAATTTTTGACACTGCATATTCAAGATTTTTCACGATGGATATATCATTATCTTCCTAAAGTCTAGTTTTAGCCTTCATTTAAGTTGTTGGCATACTGAAATTACCTGCTAGTGAAAGATTTTCGCATAACTTGTCTCAATTTTTGAGAAGGATCCTTCATTGTTTTATTTGGATCTAAAATTGCCCAGTATTGATTAGCAACCTATAGAAGAGGGGTTAACTCTATTTCAAGGTTTCTAGGGGTCTAACCATGGCTTTTTAATAGATGCCTTGTTAATTTTGTATTTATCTGATACTGTGTTGTATTTGTTATTTCAACTTTTAATGCTTGACGTATTTGCTATTCCCTTTTTCGGCAGGTGCATGGTCCAGGTGCAGATATAGACACACTCTGTGTTGGTCCAAGACATGCAACGCGAGAAGTATCAACTTCTACCTTTTATAGCTAAGCTTACTTCAATTTTTTCTTCCATTTTGTGAACTAACTTGAGCTTCTCTATAAATTGGTTGTAGGAAGATTTCTTTGGTGAGCTACATAGAATGTTGGTGGAGATGCCTGAAGTAACAGAGGTGCATCCTGTACCTGATGCTCATGTTCCAGTGCTAAGATTCAAGTTCAATGGGGTTTCTATAGATCTTCTTTATGCAAAACTATCACTTTGGGTTATTCCTGAGGTAAGTGTTGATTACATCATACATCTCTATTTCTGTCAGACCTATAGTTTCATTTATGGTTGTTGTGTGCAAGTCTGTAAGCTGTAGTCAACTTTGATGAAACAGTAATCAGTTGTTGTTTCTTGATAAAACAACTAGTATGCATGTTCAAGTGATCTGGAATTTTGATAATTATTTCTTGTACGGTAATGAAGTACGAAGAGTAAAAGTTAAGACGAAGTGTTTAACCCTTTAAAGAACCATTATGTTTCTTTTTGTGTAAACTGCTCAATTGATTTAGGTTTACATGATAAAATATACTGCAGTAAAATATATGAGTGAGGCAGTGGTGTAGAAATTTTGATAATTAGGAATAAATTATCCTCCCTTGCTACTATATGATTGTTGAGTCATGCGTCGCTAGATTTCGAGAGCAAAATGTGAATATAATAACCATGCTAAGGCGTCATGAATGATATGACAAACGAACCAAACATTGAGTTTGAAATCCCTAGGAGATTTAGGTGCAGGGGACTTGTTTCTTTGGAAACATTAACTTGTGGCTATGTGGGAAAGAAAGGTAAAAGCAGGCATGTTTTCTCAATATGTTGGAAAGGTTTATAATTTCATTGGCTTTCGATGAATGTGATGGCAGACAAGTTCTGGGTGCTTGAGGCACCTAGAACTGATGATTAATTGGAGCAATGGCTGATAGATTAGAGTTGAATTTGTGATGTGACTTTCGTGTATGTTGTGACAGATATTGTCTGTTTTGTTCTTTTTGATGCTTGATCTGCTTAGAAAGATTTTGTATTTTGATATTTTGTATTTTTTGTGCCTAAGATCTTATTTTGGGCAGGACTTGGATATATCTCAAGACTCAATACTGCAGAATGCAGATGAGCAGACAGTTCGTAGTCTGAATGGTTGTAGAGTTACTGACCAAATTTTGCGGCTAGTTCCAAATATTCAGGTTTTAATCATTGCTTTTCTAGCTTGTATATGTGCTTGCAATGCATAAGTTTACATTTTTTTTTAATAACAGTTCTTTCTTACTTTGTTTATGTTCTGTGTGTTCCAGAATTTCCGAACAACATTGAGATGTATGAGATTATGGGCAAAGCGTCGTGGTGTCTATTCTAATGTATGTTATGAATTTTTCTGCTATGCTAGATTATGGCATTCTTATTGGCTCTTACATTTTTTGATTTATCAGAGTTTCTTGCTTTTTATCACTGCCAGGTTTCAGGGTTTCTTGGTGGTATAAATTGGGCACTGCTTGTTGCTCGGATATGCCAATTATACCCTAATGCACTGCCAAATATGCTAGTATCTCGGTTCTTTAGAGTCTACACTCAATGGCGTTGGCCAAACCCAGTTATGCTTTGCGCTATAGAAGAAGGATCCCTTGGACTTCAAGTTTGGGATCCTAGAAGAAATCCAAAGGATAGGTATCACTTAATGCCTATAATTACTCCGGCTTATCCTTGCATGAATTCAAGCTACAATGTGTCAGCAAGTACTTTGCGTATCATGTCAGAGGAATTTCAGAGGGGGAGAGAAATCTGTGAGGTATGAACCTACCATTTTAGTTATAACGTAACAATGTTCCTTTCCCAACTGAAATCAAATGTATCAGAAGATGATATTCCATATTGAGTTGCAATCATTTTTCTCCCCTTGATGAACAAATTGTAACATCGTATATGTTGTTACATGGCAAACAGGAATTGTAGAATTCTTGTTCTTACCTGCAAAATAATGTTTGTGTTCTTAGTTTTGAACGTTGGAATTGGTCATATTTATATTTTTCTGGTTTTCCTTCATGCCAATTGCTCTCTCTTTTATTTATTTATTTATTTTTTTAAATATATGTTTCTAACAGTTAGTTTTGGGATTGATAAGAAGTTATTTGTTGCCTTGAACTATGGTGCTAAGCTGTATGTCTTTCTGGGTGTTCTATTTTTGGTCCAATTCAAATTTCTTGAATTTTTTCGTAAGGGAAAAAACATAATTTCACATAATGTCTTATTCACATTGTTTCTGTTTTTATTTTTCTAACTTAGATGCTTGTTATTGCTTGCAGGCTATGGAAACGGACAAGGCTGATTGGGATACCCTTTTTGAGCCTTATCCCTTCTTTGAAGCATATAAAAACTATCTACAGATAGACATCAGTGCAGAAAATGACGATGACTTGAGAAAATGGAAAGGCTGGGTTGAGTCTCGCCTCCGTCAACTAACATTGAAGGTGAGATTACGTATATATAAAGTACAAATGTAATGTTTGTGTATTATTATTAATTTTTTTAATCTCCCTCTTATGATTAGTGATTCTTATTGCTATCATCTCCAAATTCAGATTGAGAGGCACACTTACAACAAGCTGCAGTGTCACCCGCACCCAGGGGAGTTTTCTGACAAATCCAAACCTTTCCATTGTAGTTACTTTATGGGTTTGCAACGAAAACAAGGAGTTCCAGCAAATGAAAGTGGGCACTTTGATATAAGGTTAACTGTAGAAGAATTTAAGAACTCTGTCAACATGTATATGTTGTGGAAGCCTGGAATGCTGATCCACGTATCCCATGTAAAAAGGAAAAACATACCTAACTTTGTATTTCCTGGTCGAGTTCGACCAGGCCGCCCAGTTAAGATAACCTGGGACATGAAGCGGGCTTCAGAACTGAAGGCTTCTGGACTTGCTCAACCAGATAAGTCAGACGAAAGTAAAACAGTTTTAAATGGATCAGATGATGGTTCTAAGAGAAAGCGTGTGGATGACAATGTTGAGAGCAGTCTCAGAAATGTCAAGCCGAGAGCTTCCTTTACTGGGGAAGTTCTTGAAGCGAGCTCCCCAATTAGCACTCTCAGTTCATCATCTGTAAAGTTCGACAGTATGGATATGAACAGGTTGGTAGAATCACAAAGAGAAAAGTCCGATAACAATTTTGTAGACAGCTTTAAGAAGTGTGAAAACTCGGCAGACATCCCATCTCAAAATGGTGAAAATGAAGTGTCATCCAGATGCAGTCCACCTACCAAAGCTGTACCTGTAGCTGCTGTTGATGCATCAAGCTCCAAAGAAGCAGAGAAGATGGCTATTGATAATATCATGTCTGGTCCATACGATTCTCACCAAGCTTTGCCAGAAGAGTTGGATGAGCTTGAAGATTTTGAATACAGAAATCAAGCCAAAGATTTTTCTGGTAGCACGATGGACAGTCAAGTGGAGACTTCAAAGGGAAATCAACCAGCAGCTCCAATAACATCGAACACCGGAACTGGGCCTTCTACTGGTTCATACTTTAATGGAGGCTTAGAGGAGCTTGAGGTGGATCTGTTACTTTTATTTCCTCATAATATATTTCTGTTATCTTCTTATGTTCCCTGTCTATTCTGATTCTTGTTTTGGTTGTAAATGAATTATTCTTATATCAAAACCACGGTAACTGTTCTTAGAGTTCAGGAAAACAAGTTTGTACATGCAAGTGCTTAGAAATGGGCCAAAAAGTAAAAAGATTTTCTTTCCCCATCACTTAAATGTGGATGGAGTTGAAAATTCTTATCAACTATTGCTCCTTTTGTTTTTGAAGAGTGGCTATTATATATTTGACAAATAAAGGCTTCTCAAACCAAAATAAAAAAGAAAAAAAAAAAAAAGCAAAAAGAATCTTAAAGCTCTCCCTGCAGTCCTTTTATGTCGGATTATTGGTTCTTGCTCTACTATAGTGGTCAATTGCCCCTTTTATGTATAACTACGATATTTCTGACTCAGATTTTTATGTGCAATAGTACTGACAATATCTCATTATTCTTTTCTTCTCTTGAAAGCCTGCTGAACTTATGGCACCAGTTTCCAATGGATCCTCTGCACCTGTTGCGCAGCGCAAGCCAATCATCAGGTATTTATGATTTAGCAATTAGTTGATTTCTTATCAAATAGTGAAGTGTACAATTGAAAAGGCAAATAAAAATTCTCTCTGTTATGGTCTTTTGTCGTCCTCAGCCAATCAAATGATACTATGTCAGCATGTAAACTTTGTATGGTTTTAACGGGACAATTAGGATAGTCTGTTGAACAAGAACCAGAGCAAATAAGCTAAGCTGGTGGCTTCCAAATGTGAACAATCCCATTCTGGAATCTCAAAAATAAGAGACATCCATTTTTTAGCTGCTGTCAGTCCTGAAGAGATCGATTATAAATATAAAATCATGATAGATTTGGAGCTCGTAGACAAAGGTGGGAGAGGGGTCGGGTGCTTTGTAATAGACAACACAAAATTGATCCATCAGACGATGTTGAGCGGGGCTCTTGTGGTGTGAATATAGTTGTGGTGCTTCTTGATGCCTTGGGGGCTGAAGAAGTAGAACTAGCCGGAATTATTAATATGTGGTTGTTCTTTTGGAGTGTGATTTGAGTGTAGTTTTTGAGTTGAATTTAAGTTATAACTTGAGTTAAAAGTTGTAACTTGAATAAAGTTGAGTAAAGTTGAATAAAATTGGAACTTCAAAGAACGTGAACTTGAATAAAATTGTAACTTGAGTTTAAACTTTTTTTGAATTTTGTTGCAAAAGAACAACCCCGTAGTTTTTCAAATTTTGTTCAAAGTCTCTGGTATCATTGCATATGCTTTACAGAGACGTTTTCTTCAGAGAAGTGATGGCGTTCTCTGTTGCAACCAGAAAAACTGCATTTAATCAGTGTGCTTGATGCTGCAAAATGAAAAGAGCATTTCTATTTGTTGGGGTGATTTGCTGAATATCATTTTCCTTGAATGAAATAATGCTTGAATTATTTTCTTCACTTTTCCTCTTGTTGAGAGCTAAAAGTGTTTCCTCAGCTATATTCGAACTAAATTATTGTACTATTAGTAATGGGGCAGCGACAGCCTAGCGAAAAGACTTCTTAGATCCAATTAGAATAGTAAAAATATTTTAAACTCAAATTTTTTTGTTTTGTTTTGTCAGTCTGTAAAATTCATATATCCGGCTCCAAATAAATTGGGATTAAAGCTTGCTATTGTTATTTGTTTTGTCATTCTCATTTCATTTTCTCTTGTGCTTGCAGGTTGAGCCTCACTTCTTTGGCCAAAGCAACCGGAAAAAGCTCATAAAATGATATTTGCGGTCCTCCTCTGCTATGTAAAATAAGAAATAGTTATTTTATCAACTTTTTTATTTTTCCCTCAACGTTTGTAGTAATAATTATAGTCAATAATCAATACACATCTTCAGTTGACAACGCCAGTTTCTATGTACATGAGGATTTGCCTCAACGATTATGGGTTGTACACAAGAAGTAATGAGATAAAAAGCCAAGTTAAGCCGAGATCTGCTGCAAATTAATATATTTCTAGAATTTTCAATTTCACGTGGGGCAATTATTTTTTTTTTCTTCTTTGGTTTGGAATACTTGAAACGTACTTGAAGGTAGACAAGTTAAAATAGTGAAACCTACTCGTACCTATCAAATTATTTGTATGCTAAGTTAAGAAATGTGATGCAAAATTTGATTGACTTGTACTATTTTAAATTTTTACTCTTACTTTTAATAAATATCTTTTTATTAGTGTAATTATTTGACTAAAAAAGTTATAAATTAAAAGTAAAGGATAAAAATTTTGATTTATATATTTTTGAAGGATATTTGTTAAGATTACTATTGACTCTCGGTTGCACCCGAATTATTTGGGTCACAGTTTTAGCCGGAATCCACTCAAAATTTTTAAAAAACTAATTATTTCTAAATGATATCAAATAGTAGTTGTTGAAGTAGGAGCTTAACAAGAATGGGGTGAGGTCAAAGAGAAATTCAACTTGTAAATATTATATATTAAGGGTCTATTTAATTCGTTGATTTGAGTTGAGATATAACTTTATGTGAGAACTTTTTACTGTAGTAAAAAAGTTAAATGTGACTGTTTTTGAGAATTTTTTACTATAGTAAAATTAAAATTCTAAACTCGAATCAGTGAAATGAACGAGACCTAAATTACTGAATTGCACAATCCAACGTACTATTAGAATATACAATTTTAAAAATTTGCAAAGCCCTTGTTCGTTTCTGTTAAGACCAAAATAAAACACGGAAGAGCGGGAATGTTTCCTCTGCTTAGTAATCTAAACATGAAAAACTCTATATTCTCTCTATTGGAGAATGCTAACATTTATTTTTCAAATTCAAAGTGACAAATTCGCAAACTTGTAATTCAACAATGGTGTATTTACAAGAATGTCCGGTTCGGAATTAACTTATCCAATTTAACGATGGTAACAAAATTTGGTGCCCACGAGGTCAAAATAATAATAAAAAAAAGCCGTTTGAGAACAAATCACAAAAATGTTTGATTCATGCCATATTTGTCTTTGGGATTATGGTTGACCTAATGCACAACAAAACAACTTAATCGGTCATAATTACTTGTTAAATAGTAAGTAGGTTTAGGCCTTGACCCAACTAAAACTGTTAAAACTGTTTGGTAAAAAGTAAAAAAAAAAAAAAAAATAGATTTTGTAGAATTTTTGAAGCTAAAAGTAGAATCATGCTTTGTACGCTAACACTCTTGACATATGGCCTTGTCTACCATATTCTAAGCAACTTCTAGGCCGATTAGCAAAAAAAGGAAGTTTCCTCCGAACCCCCTCTGTTACACCCAATATCTTATTTTACTGGATTTCTTCCTTCCCTCGTTCGTGCTTTACTCCTGTGAACCACTCACTTATTCTTTATAATCTGTCATATTGTTCATTCCTCAAAATATCATAAGAGATCAAAAAAAAAAAAAAAAAGCAACTTCTAGACCAACACAAGTGCGCAATTTATGACACAAATGCTCCCACTCATAAGTACCGTTAAAACTTGGATTAATTTCAAAAATTCTTCTTAAATTATGTCTCTTATAATATTGTGTCTCCCGAATTTTAAAACGTAATATTCATTTTTTTTTTAATTTTATTCCGTTAACAAATTTTTCCCTTCTGTTACAATGAGTGACGAAATTATTACGTGTCACTTATTTAGTGAGAATTAAAAACGTAATTACTTTTATACCCTCCTAATCAAATAATTCTCTATTTTTATTGAAAAATTCACCATCTTCTCCGTAGGAACTTGCTAAACTTTTATTTGGTTCATGGATTGAAAATCATGATTCAGAACTATTATTGATTTACGTGTGTTTTTTATAAGAGAAAATACTGTAATAAACTACGATTTAAATCATGTCACGAATACACCAACTAAACGCACCTAGTCAAATAGCTCTTGCTGCAACTTAAGCTTCAACCCAAATCCAGAAAATTTATTTTCCACCAACATAAAGGCATCTCAATCCAGCTATATGCAGATATAATACCCTGCTCTATATAATATATACAACAAACTCCAGCGTTAAAAGATCACACCACTGATTGTTAAAGTGGTAAGTTAATCTTTTCCGACCATCAAAACAAAGGTCCTGAGCAATCCCACCCTTTATAAATTGCTTTTCTCTCACAGAAGAGCGGGAATGTTTCCTCTGCTTAGTAATCTAAACATGAAAAACTCTATATTCTCTCTATTGGAGAATGCTAACATTTATTTTTCAAATTCAAAGTGACAAATTCGCAAACTTGTAATTCAACAATGGTGTATTTACAAGAATGTCCGGTTCGGAATTAACTTATCCAATTTAACGATGGTAACAAAATTTGGTGCCCACGAGGTCAAAATAATAATAAAAAAAAGCCGTTTGAGAACAAATCACAAAAATGTTTGATTCATGCCATATTTGTCTTTGGGATTATGGTTGACCTAATGCACAACAAAACAACTTAATCGGTCATAATTACTTGTTAAATAGTAAGTAGGTTTAGGCCTTGACCCAACTAAAACTGTTAAAACTGTTTGGTAAAAAGTAAAAAAAAAAAAAAAGATTTTGTAGAATTTTTGAAGCTAAAAGTAGAATCATGCTTTGTACGCTAGCACTCTTGACATATGGCCTTGTCTACCATATTCTAAATGGGCTACAGGGGCTAAGCAACTTCTAGGCCGATTAGCCAAAAAAAAAAAAGGAAGTTTCTCCTCTAACTCTCTCTGTTACACCCAATATCTTATTTTACTGGATTTCTTCTTTTTCTTATTCGTGCTTCACTCCTGTGAATCACTCACTTATTCTTTATAATCTGTCATATTGTTCATTCCTCAAAATATCATAAGAGATCAAAAAAAAAAAAAGCAACTTCTAGACCAACACAAGTGCGCAATTTATGACACAAATGCTCCCACTCATAAGTACCGTTAAAACTTGGATTAATTTCAAAAATTCTTCTTAAATTATGTCTCTTATAATATTGTGTCTCCCGAATTTTAAAACGTAACATTCATTTTTTTTTTTAATTTTGTTCCGTTAACAAATTTTCTCCTTCTGTTACAATGAGTGACGAAATTATTACGTGTCACTTATTTAGTGAGAATTAAAAACGTAATTACTTTTATACCCTCCTAATCAAATAATTCTCTATTTTTATTGAAAAATTCACCATCTTCTCTGTAGGAACTTGCTAAACTTTTATTTGGTTCATGGATTGAAAATCATGATTCAGAACTATTATTGATTTACGTGTGTTTTTTATCAGAGAAAATACTGTAACAAATTATGATTTAAATCATGTCATGAATACACCAACCAAACGCACCTAGTCAAATAGCTCTTGCTGCAACTTAAGCTTCAACCCAAATCCAGAAAATTTATTTTCCACCAACATAAAGGCATCTCAATCCAGCTATATGCAGATATAATACCCTGCTCTATATAATATATACAACAAACTCCAGCGTTAAAAGATCACACCACTGATTGTTAAAGTGGTAAGTTAATCTTTTCCGACCATCAAAACAAAGGTCCTGAGCAATCCCACCCTTTATAAATTGCTTTTCTCTCACCAATACTCCCACCATCTCTTAAAAAAAAAAAAAAAAAAAAAATCGCCCTATATTTAAAATTGAGCTAACAGTAAAACCTTCTCCTTCTTTAGGAGAAGAAGAACCTTTAAAAGAAAAAAAAAAAAAAGAAATTTTCATTTCTTTATGCGATTTTTTTAAATAAGAAAAATTTTACATTGAATATAATCAATACTGAAAAGAGAGAGGAGTCGTCCTCAGATTACAAAAAGAAAGCTTAAAATAACTCAAAAATAGAAACAAAACTGAAGAAATAAGAGCTAGAAACATAACAGTGACACGGATGACAAAGAGAAAAGATGAAAACATGAGCACTAAACTACATGATATTTTACGATAATATCTTCTTTAGATAAATTATATACATAATACTTGATGAATTTTACCGCTCATTATAATAATAAAAACTTATTAATAAAATAAAATTTCACATATTACGTTTTAAAATTAAAAAAAAAAATCATAATTGAAGAAGAATTTTTAAAATTAAACCTTAAAACTTTAAAAAATGACTATTGAAAACTTGCTCTGCCCCAACGCAGAGCAATTTTTCCTAAAAACAGGAAAGTAAACCCCCAAAAAAAAAAAAAAAAAAAAAAAAAAACGTAAAACCATGTGATACTGATGATTCAGCTGCCTAAGCAGCAATTCACAAGCTAACTAGCTTCTCTATAAGATCAGCCAAAAAAAAAAAAAGTAGCTTTTCTATAATTTAGGCAAATTTATCAAACACCCCCGAATCCAATTTCCTCACCTTCTTTCTTCCCCTTTTGAAATAAAAGTAATCACATTGCTCCAACATCAGAATTGTTGATAAATAAGCACACTACAAATCACCTAAATTAGACCCAAAAAAAAAAAAAGAGAGAGATAAATAAGCACTAATCTTAAAAAAAAAACAAAAAAAAAAAAAAAATCACAAAGCAAAGCGTTTCAAGAATTCAGGATCTCTCTTGGCCTTCTCCTGAAACTTCTTGAACCATCTGTCCAAAATATCCATTGGGACAACAAGCTTCGACCCATCGACGCCGCAAAACGACTGCATGAAATTAAACAGATTCTCCCCCACCTTCATCGCCAACAGCTCGATCCTCTTCTCCGCCGCCACGTCCAGCGACGGCAGCAACGCCAGGTCCTCCACCGAAACCCCGATCTTCGCCGACGGCGGAACGGCATCCGCGGCGGCGATCTGGAGCTGCTCCCCGGAGGCGGCGGAGGGGGGATCGGGCCAGGGGAGGGAGAGGACGGCGGAGGGGCGGGCGAGAGTGACGGCGCCGCAGAAGACGAAGGGGGAACCGGGGGATTGGGCGTAGACGGCAAGGGCTTTGTCGGGAGGGAGAGTGAAGTTGTTGAGGAGGAAGATGCAGATCTCGCGGACCTGGTCGTAGGCGTCGCCGACGAAGGTGTTCATGTCGAGGAGCCAGTGGAAGGTGTCGATCTGGGAGAAGGCGGAGATGTCCATCGGGAAGCTCCGGTTGGGGAAGACCACGCCGAACATGGCTGCTGATGATAATGTCTTTGTCAGTCTGAGATTTTGGTCGGAAAGGAAAGGGTGGGTTTCGGGCTGTTTAATGTCTGAATTTGAGCTGTTGGGGGTGGAGCCGTGGAGGTGATGGGAATTGGATAGAATATACGGTGGTGTTTTGAAGAGAGTCGTAGAAAAGGTCGAGTAGTTTCTAGAAGAATTCAGATGTTCTACTCGAAACTCCGTTTGGCTGCGAGGAAAGAATAAAAAATGGAAATTTGCTTTTGGCTATCGACCCATGTAAAAAAGAGCTTATCACACCGTTTAAGTGCGTTTATTAAACTCTAAAAGGATATAATGAGAAAAGTAATAGGATTAGAAGAAAAGAAAAGTAATAATATTAAGTATTATTTATTTATTTTTATGTGTTTATTTAATTATTAGATGATGTCATGAAAAATAACATCATTTATTTTTTATGTTTATTAAAATTAGAAATAATAATATTATGAATGTAATTAATAAAATATTTTTTTATACAATTAAATAATTATTAAATGTATAATAATTTATTAAGGATAGATAAATAAATTTAATATTCATTTCTTTTAATAAGGAATTAATATTAAAGGCATGTAAGGATTGATATTCTTTTTTTTTCATTTTTTATATTATGTGGGGTTTATATAATCTCTATTATTAATTTTATAAGTAAACACATTATTAGATGATAAAGAAAATCACTCTTTACTTCTCATTTGATACAAAATGAACATGCCCTTTATGTTTTATCAATATTACATTAACACTCTTTTGAACAAACTCATAACAACAACACCCCTTGTTTTAAAAAAAAATGCACTCACATTCCTTAAGATCACTCGTAATCCGTATGAACATTAAGTACAAAATATGATAAGATGTTCATAATAAAGCATAACTGTCATGCATTTATAAAACATTTTAATTATATTTTTGAGGTATAGTTTAAACTTCTTGAGTGAAAGCTCACTCTAGTATGATTATACTGTAAAAAACTAGCAAATAATGCTCGATGGATTGAGTCGGATCCATCAAACAAAAGTGAAGATGGTATGAGATACCGCTATGCACTTTTTCGCAAATTTATGTCTTGATAATTTTGAGTGGAGTACGGTATTATTATTAATACTTTAAATAAGTTATGTATATTTTGGACCAATGTTGTAAAATGTACAACTTTAGTCCATATAATGATTGCTTTACAATTCTTTTTAGTTATTCTAATTTCTTAATTTAAGTTGAGTTATATAAGTAAAAAAAATTTCTAGTAAATTCTAAGTTAATTAAATTAAGTAATAAGATTAAGTAGTTAAGTAACGACGATGTAGTACATGTCGTTACTGTTATGAGTGATGTTATTAAAGTATGAGATGTAATCAGATATTTATTATTTATATTTATAAAAGTGAATTTTTATTATTTTATATGTATTATTGAATACTTTATGAATCTTATTGAAAATTCTGTGATTATTTATAAATCTCGTTGAATTTTTAACTACTGGAGTTCCGATGTTTGAAAAACTAGTTAATTTAGATGCTGATAATGAATGCGAATTTAGATATTAAAACTTCCTGATTTCATGCATATTCTGATATATGAAAGATTGTAATTTGTAAATTTAAATTTTGGGCGAAACATGAAATTTGGATAACGAATTTTCCTGATATAGTATGTATGTCAATGACAAATATTTTGTGATGCCTTAAGACACTACACATAATTGTGACTTGACGCAAGAATGAAATTTCCATCTTAATGTTGAATGAAAAGTTTATGAAACGGAAATTCTCAGAATAAGAACATTCCGTGAAATTTCGATGATGAAGTGAGAAATCCCAAATTATACTCGGAGATCTCTAATTTATGCTAAGACAGAATTTAATGCAAGGATCAGATGCCCAGGTGAGTACAAACCTCACATACAACATAAATAGTTTTAATATATATATATATATATATATATATATGCTTGATAAATTATTTGTTTACATGAAGTGATTCTCTGTGATGTGATTGTTGAGTATTGAATAAAGTATGTCCTATAAAGTATTTTACTTATTATATTTTTGTGACATAAACATTGAGTTTGATGTGATGTTGACTCTTTAATTAAATCATATTTGATATACTTACATGACATGATCATAATTGCATGTTCATCTTAAATTGAGGTAAAAATAATGAGAACTAGAGATGTGTCATACTAACTCCGCGAGGGGGTATTGAGAGTCCACGAGGGAAATAGATACCACTATGCATTATATTTTCCGCACTAAAGTATTTTCCTGCACTATGATAACCGGTATAAGTTTTAAAAGTTTATTTATTTGAGTTTAGTCTATTAATAAGGTAATCTTAATGTCTTATAATGTCTTTTCTTAACATTTTCAAAGAAAGAATTTTAATAGTCAATTATTCAAAGTATAATGATGTATTATGTTCACACTAACGATTGCCTCAAAGTCTAAGGCCCTGTTCATTTCGCTGATTCGAGTTTAGAATTCGAGTTTTTCTACAGTAAAAAGCTCTCACAAACAATCACATCTAACTTTTTTGTTACAGTAAAAAGCTCTCACATAAAATCGCATCTCAACTCGAATTCTAAACTCGAATCAGCGAAGTGAACGGGACCTGAGTAAATTACACACCTGGTTTTATGGTATATGCAAAGCATGACACCACTACATGATTTTAGGAGACTCTATTCTCTATAAAGTTGGGATTCACTTTTATAAGATTTATGATTCGTCTTTATCTTTGTGAACAAGTAAGAACGAATTTATGAAGATAGCTTTCAAAAAAACAAAATTTCTCTGAAATTATCTATAAATAAGTTGGTATATTTTTACTTAAAAAAATAAAGATATAAATAAATGTGTATATATGTGTTACAAATTTACAACAACTTATAAACATATATATATATATATATGTGTGTATTTTTATATATATTTTTTAATTTAAATTGCTGTTAATTAAACAACTGCATATCCGTGCAAATGCATGGGTAATCCACTAGTATAATACATGTAGACGATATATCCCCTGTATATATACGGCAATTTAAAAGAACAAAAGAGAAAAAAGAAGTGGGAACATGACTAGGATTTCAAACATTTTTAACTTTAGCATTTGTTTTGATACTCTTTTTTTTCTTCTTTTATTTTCATTTAACGAGTGTGTTTTGTTAATTGTTGTTTCCAATTCTTGATTTCAATTGATCTTTCGACCTTTCATCTTGGAAACTTCAAGAGTTTATCTGAATTCTGAATATGGAGGAGGCGTTTCTGGACTTGGTTCTGGTGCCGCTGGGTCTTTTATTGTTCGGAATATACCACGCTTGGTTATTCTTCACCATTCGCCGGAATCCCAGAAGAACTGTTATTGGTCTTAACGCCGAGTCTCGTCAACAATGGGTCTTCTCCATGATGGATGTTAGTCTCTCTCTCTCTCCAAGTTCAATTGGAATTTGCTATTAAAAAGTGTCCACTTTTTGCTGGGTTTGTAGTATTTTATTCTGTTTGGATCGCCGTTTTCTGTACAGTTGTTGTGTCTCTCTTAGTGAGCTCATAATTTATGCTTTTAAAGTTGGCTGGGAGAGACTTTGAGATGGTTTTAGAAGTTAGGTGCTCGAAATCTTCCGGATAATTCTTGGCTTAGCTTCTGTTCTGTGTAAATTCTTACTTACTCCCTATGTTCTCATGGTCCGCAAAATTTTAATTGAACGCTAAAGATAGTTTGAAGAATCTCTGTTGCTCCTTGTTCTGGCTTCTGAGTGATTTGGTATCAACTTATGTTTGTTTTTGTTCTTGTTCTTGGTTTTTTTTGTTTGTTTTTGTTTTTGTTTTTGTTTGTGTTTGTGTTTGTTTTGTTTTGTTTTTTTGTTTTTTTTTTAATTTTTAAACACTAATATAACAAGAAACAGGAGGTAAGGAAGAAAGTACATAAAGAAAACACCAAGCGACCATAATGATTGTACAGATTTCCATTCTTGAACAATACCTTAAGCCCAGAGGTTTTCTTCTAGAGGTCCATTCTCCTTTTAAGCATTACATGTTCGATACATAAACATGTCATAGCCTTCTATCTACTATACGTTCAGAGTAAAACTTTCAAGGGGTCGTCTGTTCGGAGCTGTAACCGCAATGTTCTTTTAGGATTTCAGATTTTTTTCCCCCCTCAATATGGGAGAGGAATGCGGTCACCATCAGTCAAAGTTGTGAACCTCAGGATATGAATTTATTTGACAGGTTCCAATACATCGGTGAACTGAAAATGGGGAAGCTGGCTGTGACCGAGTATTTACTCTTGTAGACAGCTTATTTCATTAGGTTGTAGCTTGATGGTGGAATTTGATCAACGGGAAAGACTAATTTCGTGATTGGTGTACCATGTTTAATGGTGAGAGGGTTTCCCTTGGTGGTTGTACATTTCATTCTTATGCTTCACATGTTTGTTCCTAATTGAGCAATTAGGACTGGAAATGATGCAGTATTGGAAACTATCCCGTAATTGATATTTGAGGTATTGCTGTTGATGTAGTAAAGGAAAGAACTGGAAAGACAGAGAAGTAGAGGAACTGAGGAGGAGGTTGGCAGAAGCATTAACAGAGAGTGGGATAAGAACATAAAGGGTGAAAATTAAGGCTTGTGAAGTCTATATTTTTTGGTCTCTGCAAAACTGAGTCATAACAAGGCCTATTATACCAAACGATGCATTTTGGAATGAGTAAAGAAATGCTGGAATAATAAAATCATGAAATAAGTCAATCTGCTTATCATCCTCCCGATTATTAGGCATAATCTCAATGGCTTGGTAATTGTATTTAGTTGGAACATAGTAATAATACTGACAAAATTGAGATGGTTTGTCAAATGATGGTAGTGTTTCTGAAATTTCGTTCCAGCACTTATGGGAATTGTCCAAATGATAGAAGCTAATGTTTCTCACAGATGGAGTCAACCTGTAGAGGAGAAATATAGAAAGATAATGCTTGCTACGAACCCGAACCTCTGAAAATCTTCACTAACAGAGCAAAGCCCAAAGGATTACAATAACATATTTGATCTCCTCTAGGGAATTCACGCCTCTTTAGTAGAAAGAAAGTACAAGAGTGACCAAACACATGGTCACTTGAAACTAATAGTCCTACCAAAACGAAAATCATACATCAGCATTTATTTAATTACAAGCCAAAAATGCACAGCTCTGTTTAAGAACAGAACCACATGCTCATGTGTGCACCGAGCTGTAGATGCTGCATCACTCACTCCGTTGTCTCCATTTTTGTGCGTTCATGTTCTCTAAACTAGTGGTTTTTTCACTATATTGTCTAACCCCTCTTAGTGTCCGTTTATTTTCTTTATATTGTGTTTTATTATTATCATTATTAGTTTTTTCCATGTAGTGGCTCCCTTTGTGCTCCTTTTTAAGTCACTGACCAATAAAAACCAATTATGTATGTTTGCGTGAGAAATATTCTGAGGTAACTATGATGTAATGAATACTTGAAGAGATCCTTGAAGAACAACCTTATGGAAAGTACATCGGTTTCTTACTTGCAATTAGCTGTTCGGGATTGTTGTTGAAAATGCCATGTATGCGTCATCGGTTATTCTTATTCCTTAATATTTGCAACAAAGGTGATTTACATAACATTTTCTAGGAAATTCTTTTTCATTGATGGTGGTAAGGTGGTGCACTTTTTGCATGATTTAGTTCATACATACACCATGCTTCTGCCCTTTAAGTATGATTTACTTTCATGGTAATAATGAGCAACTGATTGCCCTTAATATACTTTCTAGAAGCTTATACTTGAATTGATATTGTTCTTCTGAGTGAGAAAATGCTGTTGAAATTTAAGTTTTATTCCAGGAGTTCAGGAATTGATTTCACTTCATTATTTTCAGGACCCGTTGAAGAATGGTGTTTTGACCGTGCAAACAATACGCAACAACATCATGGCATCGACACTTTTGGGAACAACAGCTATCACTCTCAGTTCCCTGATTGGTGTATTTGTTAGCAGCTCATCGAAATCCGGTGACAAAGCATCGCAGTTAGTATATGGCAATAAGACCCTTACTCTCTCTTCAATCAAGTACTTTTGCATCTTGTTGTGCTTCCTAGTTGCCTTTCTTTGCAATGTCCAGTCTATTAGATACTATGCTCATGTAAGTTTCTTGGCAACTGTACCTACATGGAGAGGCAGAAAAGATTCTATTGAGTATGTTGCAAGAAATTTGAATCGAGGAAGCCATTTTTGGTCTCTCGGATTGCGAGCATTCTATCTGTCATTCCCTCTCTTCCTCTGGATTTTTGGCCCTATTCCTATGTTTGTTTGCTCCATCATAATGGCGTTTATTCTTTACTTCTTGGACACAACCACAAGTTTTACACGGCTTCTTCATAGTCACACGCTCAAAGAGGACGTAAGAACTGGTGACTTGGAATCAGAAGATTAATTGTTGCAGTTGCTCTTGAAAATTACAAGTTGGTAATACTGCTATGGTGGGATTAAGTCAAAGCATTGAAAAAAGCTGTTTTGATGTATGATACTGCTTGTTATTGATGATATCTCTCTCTTCTGAGATATATGTCTTAGCTATTCCTTCTGTGTATTTATATATCTATGCCAATTGAAAGGAGAAAAGAGTCTGCTAGTTCAAACACTCTTGAAATGTGGTGATAAAATTAGTTCACTCGCAAACACATTTCTAAAATTTCCCTTGACCTTTTTGGCTTTATGTTTCCTTTTGGATTTATTTTTCTTTTTGGATTTAACTGAATCACATTTTGGTATCTCTTCGGTCAAGTTTTTGATATCTAAATACAATAGCAGTGACTTTACCTGACTTCTTGGTAAATAAAATGGAAAGTAAAAGGATAGGGGTAGAAGAGATTGATTAGTTTAGCATGAAAAGTATGATGATTTTTATGCTTATGTATATGTAAGTTGAGATCAATTAGTCGTTTTTCTTAAGCACAGCGAGACCATATTGCATCAGTTTTGTGACCGGCCAGCAGCACATTGCTGGTTTTCAAGGTCATCAGCCACTATACCTGGATGCTCCTTGATCGTGGGTTGAGATATCACTAGTTCTGGTAAGCGCCTTGCCTTGGTCTCCAATATATTTATATATATATATATATATATTTTATTGGAAACCAGCTAATCTTCTTCCAATCTAAAGCATCAACTAGAATTCTCCAGACAAATAACACACGCACAGTCGCGCACGAGAGCGCGCGCGCACACACACACACACACATGTATATTGTTTCGGGTTCGTTGGGAACATTTAAACAACAAAGGGTAAAAATGTAAAAGGTTGGATTATAAAACAATGTAACAATGCTGAAATCTTTTTCCACTACAATACTGCAGAACTTGAGTATTACAATTACGGACTCAACGATTACAAGTACAAAGCAGGATAATATCGAGTATGGACTGAGGGAAAATCCAACTCCTGTTTTGAGCAGTGAAGGTGATTGTGAGAATGGTGAGGGTGACGGTATAAGAGAAACCTTGTTTGCAGGAATTATAGGAACTAGTGATAAAACTTAGTAATAGAGGTGGTGTTGGTAAATCTTGGAAGTAATTGTGTTTAGAAATCTAGGATTGGCTGTACTCGGTTGTGGTACCTGTTCTGTTTTGGCCTGGTGAGGTGCCTATTTATAGGCCAGGAAGGAGCAACCCGTGCAAGGTTGGCTGACATTGGCATGATGCAGCTTTCTTGCACAAGTGCATCTTGTACAAGGTTGGTAGGCTTGGACATCTTGTACATGGTCACTGCACGGCTAGCAAGGTTGCACAGGTCGGCTTGTACAAGGTTGGCTCGTACACAATGTTGGTTTGTACAGGGTTAGCTTGTATGAGGGCTTATGTACAAGGTTGGTTGTTGTACAAAGTTTGTAATTGGCTTGTACAATGTTGAAGGAGGCAACCTTGATAGAGAATGCACAACCTTGTACAAGACTGTTTGCCCTTTAAACAAGGTTAGGACAACAGGCAGCACAAGGTATACTGTTTGAACAAGGTTCATTCTCAATTACATTATACTCTCACCAGGTTAAACATTGTTGGATTAAAATCACACTAGTCCATCCTCAAATATTTCCCACTCAAATTACTGATTTCACCCTCTGAATCAGATATCTCCTACACATATATATTTTGCTGAAGCTTTATTATCATCATTAATAAAGCTTATAATTATATTTTTAATTTGTGAGTAGTTCTCTATATCTGGCCCTATCTATTGCTAACCATGTAACCACTATGATCCTCGTAATTTTGGTATTAGTGGACAAGCATAGAAGTTTACTGTTAATCTGGATTATAACCATATCCATATGTATTAGTGAACACGCACAAAAGTGGGGAGGATGTAACAATTGGTATCAACGGGGTGGATGTACCAATTTTTCCGTCCTCCCTACTTGGTACTAGCCATTGCTAATAAGTAATACCAAGTCGAAAGGATGTTGGTATAAAAAATTAACAGTAAACTTCATGTAAATAATAGTGATACTAATATGTTCTTGGTATTGACATGCACTTAATAAAAATACAGTTTGGATTATAATCATATGTTATGTTAAGGCGTGGTTAAGCCGTTGTTTTGCCATTTTAAAAGCAATACATTTTATATGGTCTGATTAAACTGTGTTTATGTTTATATGAAGTTAATATGTATATTTTAAGAACTATTGCTATTTATTACTCTCATTAAGTCTACTATTAATTATTAAATCTTAAAAATACTATCCTCTGTTTATTTCTCCTTATTATCTGATGGAATGTCAGGATATGGTTTATGGTAGATGGACAAGCTGGATTACTTTATTATTTTGAAAGCTCAATTTATTCCGCTTTTCTTTAGCTTTTAGTTTGTTACATTGTAGTGTTGTAAATCTTTTCGCAGTAGCATTAAAGTTTTCATAACTTTTGTTCTATATTCAATATGAAGCACTAGTAATAGTAGTACTATTTTAGTTTTGCTTTGGTTTTCCATTTTCTGCATATTCCCTGCACCTTGTCTTCCACTATTGCTACTTTTGCGTGTCTTCTTTTTGTATCACCTTCCATGGCCTTTCAACCAACTTCGCATTACACATATGTGTGTGTGTGTATATATACATATTCTTCCTTGCTTAAATAAATCAAAAACATAATTTTTTTTAATGGATCTCCTTAGAACAAAATCCTCAAGAAATTATTTAGAGCAAATAGTTAATTCGGAAGAAATAACTTTTGCTAGTATTGAAAAGGACCTTAGCGATCCTAAAGCTCCAACAACTATAATCTATAAACAAGGGAAGTTTTCCTTTGGTGTAGATTATTTTGTTAAGACTGTTGAGCATGTAGTTCCATTTGCACAAGAATTTGAAACTTTTCAACTATTTTCAAAAAATTCAATAAGAAATCATCAGAAAAAAAATACAGCTATTAGCTATAGGACTTGTGCAAATAGGAGTTACTGTTAATTTTTGGTGCTAGTACAAATCCTTAGCCCATACAGATGGTGTCAAAACCTCGAGAATTTATGCTGTAGAACGAGTCATAATATTTGTGTCCCCAATCTCATAATATTTATGCTGTAGAATTTATGTTGGATAGACATGGGAAGCAGTGTATTCTTGCCATCATATTACCCTGAAGACTTTGTAGGAAAGTTTGGTGGATCTTGAATAAGCTTTAGATCCCAAGCAGTGATCCATGAGACATGGAAATTTGAAAAGAAAGTATTATGGGAATTCCATTTTCTTCTTCTTTTTGAGATTGTTGGTATTTTTAAAGGAAAATTTTGCACCCATCAAGAACAGGTTCTATAAATTAACTCCTCTCTTAAAATAGAAGAATCATCAATGCCAGTATCTGTAATTTTCATAAAGGAAACAATAATGTCATGCATCCATATAATCCCAATAGTTGTAACGAGTAGGATCAAAAGTATGAGATTTTTTTTTTTTTTTTTTTTTTTTTTTTTTTTTTTTTTTTTTTTTTTTTTTTTTTTTTTTTTTTTTTGGTGCTGGGATAAATCCTTACCCCATGCAAATGGTGTCAAAACCTTGAGAATTTTATGCTGTGGAATGAGTTCATAACATTTGTTTCCTCATTTTCATAATAGTGTTTTACAGATATTGAATTCGGCTTCACCTTGTGCTTTTTTAAGATCCTTTGGCATATAGATCTTTTGGAAAAATCATTTGAGCAACCTGCCAAAAGATTATCTAAGGCCTCATTCAGTTCGTTTATTTGAGTTTTTAATTTTAGCTGAGATGTGATTTTATGTGAGTTTTTAACTGTAACAAAAAAAGTTAGATGTGACTTTTTGTGAGAGCTTTTAATTATAGTAAAACTGAAATTGAAAATTCTAATCGGTGAAATAAACGAGGCTTAAATTATAATTATTTTTCAATAGGCGAAACTTGTTTCCATGCATCTATTGATTTTTCAACATATTTAGAAGGAGGAGGATGTTGAAAACATATCTGGGCAATTCGCTTTTGTTTATTCGAAACGAACTTTTAGACGGGATGAGGGTTTTGTGTCAAAATCATTCCTTTATTTTGAGAAAATATTTTTGCCAACTCAAGTGCATTAGCTTTTGCATATTCTTCAATTGACAATTGAGGCATTGCCCCTCTTTTGAAACTTTTGAGGATCAGGTGGAGGCAGTTTCCTCTTTAGAAACTTTTTTTTTTGGTGTGCTTAGCACTTAAGATTCTTAAGATTTTGGAAAAGGAATAATTTTGCCTCATTTCATTCAGAAAAAGAATACATGATTATATACAAAAGAGGTAATCAACCGCAATCAGTCATCTATGGAAAAAAAAAATAGGGCTAATTATACCTAATCACAAGTCAAAGTACACATCCTAATAAACTAAAAAATAAATTACTATGAGATCTAGTCACAATCCACCAAAATCTGTTGTTTGAGAAAAAAAATAAACAACTAATTTATCGCTAGAAATCAGGAAAATTAATTGTAGAATTTCCACAGTCACCCCCAAATTTGGTTTTATATGTTGATGAGTCCCAACTTGGTACTCAGATAATTAAAGAGGTTCCTTGGCAGAGCTTCCGTAAGAATGGCCACCCTTTGGAGAGATGTTGGCAAGTGTAGTAGCTTAATTATTCCCCCTTCCATTTTCTCCTTAATAGAGCGGCGATCTACTTCTACTTATTTTATTCTGTCATGATAAATTAGATTTTTAGCAATATTGATGGCAGATTGATTGTCACGGAACATTTTTTGAGTTTTTCAACTCTGAATTCCTAGTTCTTCAAGTATTCTTCTCAGCCAAATTTCCTCACAAATTTCATGTACCGTAACTCTAAACTCTGCTTCTGCACTACTTCTTGACACACCTAATTGTTTCTTACTCTACCAAGTAACGAGATTTCTCTACACATAAGTGCAATATCTAGAAGTGGATTTTCGATCAGTGGCTTATACGACCCAATCAACATCTGTAAATATCTCGATGTTTTTTCTGTTTGGTTGTGTTGGTTTTTTTTTTAATTAAAGAACATACCCTTTCCAAGAGTCATTTTGGAATACCTTAACATTCGAAAAATTACTTCCATGTGTTCCTCTGTTGGACAGTTCATGAATTAACTCACCACACTTACGGAGAAGCTAATGTCAGGTCTTGATAGATAAATTTCCTAACGAGCCTTTGATATCTACCTTTGTCTACAGGAACACTATCAAGTTTTGTCCCAAGTTTTTACTGTTGAGTCTAGGGGTGTATTAACAGGCTTGCAACCAAGCATTCTCGTTTCTTT